TATCCCTCCTCTTCTTTGCTTTCTAAAAATCATTGCATGTAATAAGCAGGCATATGCTGATGTCTACACATGGAGTTGGAAATACCTGAGTTTAAATCTGGTTACTTCCTACTGTATGACTCTGGGTAAGTCATTTAACTTCTTTCTACCTTAGTTTCTTCAACTGAAAAATAAGGATATCTTTGTGCCCATCTTCCAGGGTTATTGTAAGGATCAAATAAGCTAAAACTCATACAGTGTTTTTTAGCACAGTGTCTGACACATAGTAAATGCTTCATAAATGCTAATTTCCTTCTATACAACAAATAATTTTTTTGAGAAAAAAATCAGCACAATTTATCAATACATTGGAAAAGTTTGAAACGTGTATAATGCATAGATGTGTATAATGTACTAGCCTAGTTAAAAAATCTCAGGGTCAAAGAGTATGGACTTTTGAGTCACTTGATTTAGATAATTCCATAGTACTTTCCATAATGGCTGTACTAATTGAGAACTCCACCAGCAATGTACTAGTGTCCCTTTTATCTTAGAACCATTCCAACATTGGATGTTCTAATCTTTTGTTATCTTTGCTATTTTGCAGGGTATGTGGTGCAATGGCAGAATTGTTTTGATTTGATTTATTTTATTATTGGTGATTCAGAGCATTTTATATAGTTTTTAATAGCCAATTCTTTTAAGAACTTTTTGTTCCTTTTCTTTGAAATAGATTTCATCTTGAACTTTTTTCCTTTTATTCTTCTTCTTGAATTCATTGATCTCTGCCTGATGACGTAACTTTCTTTGCTACTTTTTGCAGCATTTATTGCACTTAAACTTATAGCCCATTCTCTCACCCCCACCTTACTTCTTTATGCTGTGGGAGTTGGAATATACATTGTTTGTCATTGCCAATTATAGGGTACCCCTCTACCATTATCAATCAGCAAACTTTCCTCCTTTCAATCCATATTTATTACCCAATTGTAGCTCTTGTCTACAAACTGTCAGGACACTCTTCTTCCTTCCTCAATGAATTCAGTGCCTAGATCAAAAGCTTACTCTACCACCCCATCTCCTACATCTGCGCTTACACCAGACTTCAACAAACATATTGATATTCCTTCAAACAAACTAAATTCCCAAGTTCTCAATTTACTCATTTCACATGGCTTACCTTTACTAACTGAAGTGGTTCTCCAAGGTTCTTTTCTTCCTCTACACTTTGTCACATAGTGTTCTCATCAGCTCCCATGATTTGAATAATTATACCTATTCACATGACTTTCAGGTCTCCTTGAACACCCATATAAAATTTGGGGCCTGACTGACTAGCTAATGCAGGTAAGTAATGAGTTATTTTCTGTCAATTGAAATGTGATAAAATTTTCTGTATGTTTGTATGTAAGATATGTTGTTCAGTAACTCCCAATATTTTTCTTTCTTTTCTGTTGCCCCCAAGCAGAGGGGAACATATTCTTTTCATTAGATTTTGAAGTTTCCAAATGGTGACAATTGAACATCTCCTTGTGAAGATAAAACTTTGATCTTTATATAGCATACATCCGGTTGAAAATGTGATGAGGCAAACCCAGTTTAGATGATAGTTCCTTTCCCCCCTTAATGGTATTTTATTTGTTTCTAATTACATGGAAAGATAGTTTTCAACATTAATTTTTGTAAAATTTTGAGTTCCAAATTTTTCTCCTTCCCTCCCTCCCTTTCCTTCTCCCCAAGACAGAAAGCAATCTTACATAGGTTATGTATGGACAATCATGTTAAATATATATTCCATATTAGTCATGTTGTGAAAGAAGAATCAGAACAAAAGGGAAAAACCATGAGAAAGAAAAAAAAACAACAAAAAAAGTGAAAATAGTGTGCTTCTATCTGCATTCAGACTCCATAGTTCCTTCTCTGGATGTGGTTAGCATTTTCCATCATGAATCTTTTGGAACTGTCTTGGATCATTGTATTACTGAGAAGAGCTAAGGCTATTATACTTAATCATCGCACAATGTTGCTTATTGCTGTGTACACTATTCTCCTGGATCTGCTTGGTTTACTCAGCATCAGTTCATGTAAGTCTTCCCAGGCTTTTCTGAAATCTGCCTGTTTATCATTTCTTACAGCATAATAATATTCCATTACATTCACATACCACAACTTGTTCAGCCATTCCCCAACTGATGGGCATCCCCTCAATTTCCAATTCTTTGCCACCACAAAAAAAGGAGCTACTATAAATATTTTTGTACATGTGGGTCCTTTTCCCTTTTTTATGATCTCTTTGGGATACAGACCTAGTAGTGGTATTGCTCAATCAAAAGTATTCACAGTTTGGTTACCCTTTGGGCATAGCTCCAAGTTGCTCTCCAAAATGGTTGGATCATTTCACAACTCCACCAACAATGCATTAGAGTTCCAATTTTCCCACATCTTCTCCAACATTCATCATTTTCTTTTTCTGTCATATTAGTCTGAATATTTTTCTTAAAAAAATTGTATTCAATGTGTAGAGGTGTGAGGCTTCTATGTAATCTACTGGTCCCTGACTTTTTTTCCCCTAGATTTACTGTTGCTTCATCTCAGATCATGATTGCTAAAATTCCATTGAAACATCAGAAAAATCTATTTTAGCTCATTATTTTAATTTTAAAAGAAATTTTATATTAGTTATATATATTATAATACATATGTATTATATAATAATATAATATACATTTTATGTCAGTCATATATAATATATACATACATGTATATGTATATGTATATGTATATATATGTATGTGTATATGTATATGTATATGTATATGTATATGTATATGTATATGTATATGTATATGTATATGTATATGTATATGTATATGTATATTAAGTACTTACTATGTGCCAGGCACTGTGCTAAGTCCTAAGAATACATAGAGGTGAAAGTCAGTCACTGCCTTTAAGAAGCAAACAATCTAGTGGAAGAGATGATAAACAAACAAATATGTACAAATATTTATGGGATAGACAGGAATAATTTGAAACAGGAAAGCAGAAGAATTAAGAGAGTTTGGGAAAGGCTTCCTGTAGAAGACAAAATGTTTATTGGCACCTAAAGCAAACCAGAGAAGGTGACAGGTAGAGATGTGAAGGCAAAGCATTCCCATCATGGGAAACAGCCAGAGAAATGGCTGGAAACTGAGAGATAGATTGTCTTATTTGTGGAATAGCAAAGAGGCCAAAGGAGAATCAAAAAGTATGTGGCAGGGAGAAATATGTAACAAGATGGGAAGTCTAGGAGAGTACTAATTTATGAAGAGATTTGCAATGTTTATGGACATTTTTTTGAAAAGAACATTTTTTTTTCTTTCTCATCCATTCTGCCATCCCCCTGTTCATTCCATTCAAAGTCATAATTATCATTGTGAGATTTTTTTCTTTATGTTACATTAAATTTTAATACCTCTCTCTAAAACCACTTCCACAGTGCCTACTTACATTGTAATGCTGGTTTTCCACAGGGCATCTGCTGACTACTACCCTCAGTTTCCTAGGGTTTCTGGTACCATGGTGTGCATACCATGAAATCAGATAGTCACCAGATAGCAGTGCCAGATAGTCACCTTCTTATCAAAGTTTTAAAGGCAATAGTCTAACAAAAATTGTAGTGATAAAGAAAATCCCATCAAATGTCCTAAGTCCATTCACTCAGAAGTACACATATAGGTCTGTGGAAAGAGTAGGCACATTTTCATAACGGTTGATTACGGAAGATACTTTTCTCTCTTAGTAGTGTCCTCTTCTGAATATGATTTAGTTCTGCAAATGTTTAAGTTACTGTTGAAATAACACTTCATCACAAGGCTCACTGTTATTTTGGTGGCATCACAATTGCTTCCTATGAAACTGGACTGGGTCATAGTCCCCAGACCACCTTGTGAAGTGACATTTTGATTTTTTTGTTGTTGCTGACTTTTAAAAAATTGAATATGACTAAGCTCTAGGTTCTTGTCGGTTTCCCTGTCTTGTTTGTTTCCTTTTTGTTTATTTGGACCATGTTCTTATTATGTGGTTTTAGAGGGAATTTAGAGTAACAGTATGTTTGTTGAAGTCTAAGTTGAACTGGATTTTTCACTTCAGCATCTTTTACCAGAACTAGCTAGAATTTCAAACCATTATCTATTCCCTTGTATCTGTCCTCTTTTTTTTGGTCCCATGAATTTGCAATTTTCCTTTCTTCCTCCGTATCTTTGCTAATACTAACCTTGTATGGATAGCCCTCTCTTTTTTCAGACACATGCAACTCCATCCCATCCTCACATTTCTCCTCTTCTATGAAATTATTCCTGACTACTGTTTTCTGTCTCTCTTCTCTGGTATCATCTGGCTTTTTATTCTTTGCTACATTATTTAGCAGTTGCATTTGAAGTTCTATTTCTTGTGTTTTAGCTTGTCAACTTGAACACAATCTAAGGGACCTGAAATCAAGAATTATATTACCAACATCTTTTGTATCTTCTGGAGTTATTACATAGTGATGGACACAAACCTAGTAACAGCTCAATCTCTGCCCTGCCGACCACAACAAAAAGACAGCAACAACCCTCATAACTTGTTGAAATTGTTGTTTTGCTCTACAATTTGAAGTGCTGCATGTGAACAATTGAGATAGACCCCCTCTCTGAGAAGCTTTGTTACTGTTCTTAATGACAATGAAAATCAGTGGAAAGACCACTGAACTTGGTGTCTAAAGACTTGAATTTGAATCCTGGCTTTGCTGTTTATTAGCTGTTTGAATTTGGATGTCACTGCCTCTGGAACTCAGTTACATGTGAAATTAATGAGGCTGGACTGGATAACCTCTAAGGTCTCTGCTAGGTCTAAAATTATGATCCTATGATATGGAAGTTGAGAAGGTTTGTAGATGTTGAAAAGAATTAATAATAAGGAGAATTTTATATTTCTTTTCAAGTCACTTTGGATGCGTTTGCAATTTTTTCCCCTGATTTCTCTGACAATGCATTTAAAAAATGTTTTCTAATGAAAAAATCTTTGGAACTCTCTTTGCCAACCAGATTGTAGTTGGAATCCTAGGGAATTCACTCCTACTTTATTTCTACATATTCAATTTTATCCATGGTCATAAGGGAAAACCCATAGATCTGATTCTCACTCATCTGTCCCTTATGAATGTCTTGTTACTTCTTATTAAGGGAATGACCCGGACAGTGACACTTTTAGGAGTAAGAAATTTCCTTGGTGATATTGCTTGTAAAACTATAGTCTACCTAGACAGAGTGTTTCGTAGCCTTTCACTCTGCAGCATGTGCCTTTTGAGTAGTTTTCAGGCCATCTCTATCAGTTTACACAGCCCTATGTACACAGTGCTCAAAACAAGAGCTCCAAAGTACATCATTCCTTCCTTTATCCTCTGTTGGATTCTCAGTCTACTAATAGAAGGAGCTATTCCCATACATATGGTTACACCCCCAAATAGTTCAAGTTTTAGGGACAACTGGAACTCAGATATTTGCACTTTGACTATTTACGCCATGAACACCTTCAACATTATACTATGGAAGACCCTTTATGATTCTGTGTGGTTTGGACTCACAATATGTAACAGTATATATATCATATTTATGATGCAAAAACACCACCATCAAGTCCTTTACATTTATAGCATCAGCTTCACCCTTAGAACTTCTCCTGAGATCAGGGCTGTCAAGACTGTTACGATGCTTATGAACAGTTTTATCTGTTTTCATTTAGCCAGTTCTATCTTTTTTGTTCTTTATAGGTCTTCTCAAACATCTAGTTCCTGGATGTTACATGTTTCTTCCTTTATGACCGGGTGTTTTCCAACTTTCTGCCCCTTTGTGCTGATCAGCAGTATAAGCAGGTACCCCAGAACCTGTTTTTTTTTTTCAATAATGGAATAAAAATTCCATCTTCACATATTGCATTGATGTCCAAGAATTTACCGGATTTTTCTCCTTGATCTCTATTGTTAAGATTTCAGTCATATGAGTTAAACCCCTGTGATAATCCCAATCTTGATCACCCAAATGGTCATGTGACACTAGTGGCCTGCAAGGTGTCAGTTGGAAAGACTAACACTTTTATACAAAGTTCACTAGTCTCCACACTGATTTTTTTTATTCCTGGGCTGGAAGTTGGCAACTTGAGCCACATCATGATTTCTATTAATTTGATTTTTCAGGTTTTGCAGCACTGAAACCTATTTTGCTTGAATTAAGGTTGTTTATCTCAGTGCCTAAGGTTCTGTCTATGCAGATCTCAGACAGGGTGTATTCAAATTTGTTTACCTCTTTAAATTTTAAAAATCTCTTTTTATATTTAGTGGGTATAAAATTGTTTTCCAATTTTTCTTTTTTTAAAATTGCACACCTAATTTTTTCTTTCTTTCATAAATAAAATTATTTAGAGATATACATTTTCCCCTATTGACCACTTGGGCTAAATCCCAAAAGTTTTGCTATGTTGGCTTATTATTGTCACTTCCTTTGATGGTGTTATATATTATTTCTATGATTTGTTCTTTGATTCACATATTCTTCTATATTTGCTTCATATTAATTAACATTTTTATAGGCACTTGTTGTTTACAAAGTTCTTTACATATATTTTCTCACTGCATTCTCATAATAATGCTTTCAATTAAGTGCTGTTATTATCCAAGTGTTACAGATAAAGAAACCAAGGGTGAGAGAGGGTAAAGAATTTACCTGGTGTCGCAGATACAGTACCTTTTGGAGCTGAGATTTGACCTCTGGACTTCCTGATTCTGAATCTGGTGCTCTATGCATTTTATCACCCATAATCCTCAGTCTATTTTGTCTCTACTTAAATTTGAATTCTTTCCTTAAGTGTCCTTTATCAGCCATATATTTATTGTGGCATATTTTAATTTGTTTAATATTTTTGCTTTTCTGCATTTATGACATTTTATTTTCCAAAACATGGTCAATTTTTGTAAAAAGCTTTAGAAAGCTGAATAAAGTCTTGACATTTTTATCTCAATTCAATATTTGCTTAGACCCATCATAGATACCATTTCTCAAATGCTATTGTGACAAGAGAAACTCTGGCTTAGACATCTTGCTGCCACTATGATATGAAGAAGGCAGCACCCTAGTCTCTATTTTGAAATTTCAGATATTGATGCTGGAAGCTAGAAGGTTTCACCACCTGAAAAATCAGGGCTGGGAAAGAAGCCCCAATTCCAATTTTGACCAACTGGGATGTGTCTTTGTCTTCTCTTTCTCTTACTTTTTTTTCCAGATGTATAAACCCTTCTCTTCTGTCTTTAAAATTCCATTTTTAATGCTACATATATATTTGCATTCTATATAAGATCACTAATGCTGATGCTCTAGGCTCACTGACTCTTGTGTTTAATTGGTTGAGTTTTCAGTCCGAATGTAATAAAGCTGCCTTTAACTATCTGTGGGTCATTGATTTAAGAGTAACAACAGTATCTTAATCAAAACTCAGGTAATTTTTATTTCAATTATTGTCAACCCAGATGGGACTGACTACATCAGATCAAGGTAGAATTTTCTGTCCCAATGTGCTTCTATTGGATACAAGGTAGATTTTACCTAAAGATGTTTGCAGGCAGGAAAAATTAGCTGACTCACTAAGTTGCAATTCTGTCTAGAGAAAATCACAGTGATATGTTATTGTTTAATGCATTTTTCTGATTTTCATTGGTAATTACTGTACTGTCTTAGCTACCCTCTCTGATTTAATTTCTGAGTAATTCTGGTCTGATCTAATGTAAATCTTGAGTAATCAACATGATCCCTATCACTAATTATATAAACCTGACATCTCAATGCCACCCTGATAGTCAATTATAGTAACAGGATCTCTCAGATTTTGTTGGTTCTTATCTGGTTCTGATAATTTTGTTTTGGGACAATTGCCTATAGATTCAGAAGAAGTATTCCTAGATGAATCTATTCTTCATATAGGAAAACTGGTATTGTTAAACTTTAGAAATATATGTTTGGACTCTAGTAATGCAAAAAAGCATCTTTTGCTTTTGAAATATTACATATATACAAGTTAATTGTTGAAGTTTCATATCCAAATCAGTAATTTAATGGCTATAATTACTTCAATTTTAATGTTAAATTGGACTTCCCAATGAACAGGTATTTATTCTGATGTTTTGGGTAATCTTTTAGTGACACAAATTTTAGAAACTGGCAGGCAAAAAATGAGAACTTTTTCTAATAAGAGAGAGAGAGGGAGAGAGAGACAGAGAGAGAGAGAGAGAAAGAGAGAGACAGAGAGACAGAGACAGAGTGACAGAGAGAGAGAGATCTTCCCCCTTTGTGAAAATTTATTGCATTGCAAACTAATTAGAGTCTAAATTTATGAACTGAATGGAAGCGTTACTTTGCATTCCCCAAAATTATGATAAAAATATGGTTTTGATGATTTTTATAGGTGCTGAAATAATGTAGTGAGCTTTAGGGGTTGTTGTTCCCAAGCACTTTTTCAAATGAGCGGTGCACCCCTCTATCAGTCTTCTGTTTCCTAGAAAATGACAGATTTATTGTTTTAGTGTAAAGGAAAAGGATGATTTCAATGACTAGAGAATAAATAGAACTGAAGACAATTAAAAATTTTATGTCCAGTTGAATAAAACAAAGTAAAATAAAGAAAAAAGTTTTGCAACTTTAAAGCATTATCTAGTGCTTAAAAACCACCTGTTATTAACTCTTATTAAGAGGCTTATTTAAATCAGGAAGCAAATAATTTGAAAATAAGCAAAATTTTATTTTCAGAGAATATTTTACCTTACCACTATGTTTTTTCTGGGAATGATTTAGCAGAACCTTCTTGCTTAGGTAAATTAGAAGCAAAGTTACCGAAAAGAAATTGAAATAGACTATATATTTGCAGTCTTTTAAAGCCTAAGTTGGGAAAAAATGTAGCAACTTTGGGGCCTTAGGAATTGGGAAAAAACAGCTTTATTCTGAATAATGAAGACATCAATTATTATAGAAATGAAGGGCTTATCCAATTGTCAAATAAAATACAATTTGCCCAGTCTCTATTTACACAGCCTTGTAACTGTTTCTTTCTCTTCTAAGTTTTTTTTTTCCTTCTGAGGAGAAGATATTTTCCCAAACTCAGAGAAATTTAAATTTTGATCAAGAAAAAGTAAAAGTTTTGCAATTAATTGATATTTTTCAGGAACACATGTGGGGCAGCTAGGTGACTCAGTAAATAGTGCGCTGGTCTGGGAGTCAGGAGGACTCAAGTTCTTACCTGGCCTCAGACACTTATTAGGCATATGACTCTGGGTAAGTCACTTAACTCTGTTCCTCATTTGTAAATGAGCTAGGGAAGTAATTGGCAAACCAGTGCATTATCTTTCTCAAGAAAACCTGAATTGTAGCAAATAATTATTGGAGCATACTAAAACTCTGTTCTTGAAAGACCAATATAAGTATATATTCTAATCTTTAAGTGGGGAACATACACACACATGCGCGTGCACGCGCACACAGACACACACACACACACTTATAATTCCATTACTACATTACAGAAGTTATGTTTGCAACTTCCACATTTCAAAAGAGCCTCAAGAATTCCAAAAGGGAAAATTAAAAATTCAAGACTGTCATGTTAATCTTTGGCAGTAGACTCACTGGAGGCATTAGTATCTATAATTTGAAGGGCTGCCAGTGAACGGCTTTTGGAAAAATTTAGATCCTGTCTGGTACAATCTGTATCTGGAGAAACAGATTTTATTTAATTGACTTTGTCCTAGATAAACTTGTGTTTCAGCCTAATTTAAACTAAAATGTGTTTTTCCTATTAGGACAATTGTGATATTTGACTCTTTGTAAGTAAAACAAGGCTTGATGGACAATGTGTTTAAATTTTGGCATTAGGCTAAATGTTTGGAGACTGTAAGAATAAAAATTATAAATGTAATATTTATATCAAAGTTAAGTCATATTGAGATCACTGGGGTTGACTGACATAAAAGATACCTTAAATTAGAAAAAAATAGACTTGATAAATTAATTGGGAACATTATTATTCACAGCATGGATAATCTCCGTCCTAAATGTTTTTGTTTACCTTTCTAACTCTAAGTGTAATTGGATAAAAACTACTCTATACTGTTCTCAATGAACTAGTATAGAATGCCTATATTAGTAGACAATGAAATGATTTCATAAAAGATAGTTTAGAAATAGATTCAACTGGATTAATATTATGTAACTGGAAATAACTCTTGTGTCCATATTTAAAAATCCATTAAATTGTTCTGTTAGTATTATGCTTATTATTTCTTGCATCATGATTTTTGGGAAACATGGAATAAGATATGCTATTAATTATATATGATTAATGTACAATTTAATCATTGCACAGGTAATTCTTTTGATCTGAATGGCGTGAAATCATGAATTTTAGCTATTTCTTATCAGAGACTTTGTTATTATGGTTTAGAAAACTGTTTTAAGTATTTACTTAGGCATGCTTTGACTTAAAATGAAGAATAGTAACACAGTGCTGGGAAAAGTACAAAAGACCATATAAATCCTCATTATCTGTAAAGTTCTCTGGTGACTTGCCAGTCCTCTGGATCTTCAGAATTGGCAAGGACATAAAATCTTATCAACTCTGTTAGAAATGGAGTTGTAAGAATACATGTTGCTATGGAAAGCCTTGTACATTCTGAAATAGTTAAATTGGTTTACCAGGAAACTGAGATCTCCTCCCCCAACACAAATACTTGCATCTAAAGTTGGGTAAACATACATTTGCTTATAGTACAGAATTATAATATAGCCTGATTATTGATTATGAAAATTACAAAATTACAGCTAGAATATTATGTGTCAAAATGACATCTTTGGCCAATTTAGTATCAACATACCTC